CTAACTCCCATCTCTGACCAATCCCCAACGCACACTCAAATGCACATATAACTTGTACAGCATACACATATAGACACACTGGGTTTACATCAACAAAACAGCACCCCCTAAACTGGGAGGAAGCATGACGTGTAGAAAATGACGATACATACTGTACCTGTGTGTAACAGCAGACTCCTCTCCTCTGATTGGTTATCCATGGAAGGGGAGTGGCTAGGCTTTTGCACACTCAGAATCCATAACATGTGTCTGTGGGCCTATGTCTTTGAGTGTGTGCCAGTGTGGGAGATAAGCAGAGGTCCTCCTTCCAGTGACCCACTGTACTGCAGTGCACTGTAACTTTAACAGGCATCCTGCTCAGAAAATGGGCAGCACCTCAAATGCTGAGTGAGAGGCTTTGCATCAAAGGGAAATAAAACAATCAATCAAAAACTTTCAAAACAATAAATAATTTGACACATGCTGAGCTGTACTATATACTCTGCTGTACAGTGCTGGTATCATACCAAGGTCACTGTCTGCATTTAGTAATATACTGCAATGTACAACTGCCCTGCATAGTACATCATACTGCAGGTTAGGAGACAATACTGTACTATAGTATAAAATTAAAATAAATTCTATTGATCCTGGGGAAAATTCATGCAAGATAGACATGACCCAGGTGGTGATCAAGCGTGTGTGTGTGTGTGTGTGTGTGTGTGCGTGTGACCAAATGTCCCCCTCAATGTAAAAGAATCATGTTATTTTGACGTTGTGGGGTTAGGACTGGGTAGGGGTTAAGGTCGTCATGTGGGGATTAGAGTTTTCCCCATAGAAATGAATGGAGGGTCCCCACAAAGATATAATTACAAACCTGTGTGTGTGTGTGTGCGTGTATGTTCTCCGAAGACTGAATTGAGGCAGAGAGAAGCTGGAGCAGAGAGGATGTACACTGATAGCCTTTGTCAATGTCGCACCCTGGGAAAGAGGAGAGCACAGGAACCTGAGCCACTGACAGGGCAGGTCTGCCGAGGCCCCCGGGGGCTGGGGAGGGGCGCTTTAAGGTGACCGACTCTCTGCCTGAAGCTGGGGATTTTTTATGTGATGCCTCAAAGAAAAACATTTACACTAACGTTCTCATGAAGAACTGTAAGATAATCACTGTTTCTAGATCTTCCAAAATTCTAATATTACTATTATTATTTTGTATCCCTTTTACATAAAGGAAATGTTATATGCATAACATTTATATGTGACATAATAGATCAAAACCAGCTGATTTCTGTTTTTGGTCTGTATGTCGTGGGGCCATTAAGCATCAAAAGAGGCAAAGTAACTGCAGGGACATGTTGGTCAGTTCATGGACCGAATTTTAATGAAATTAAAAAATTGACGTGTATCACTTGTTTTGAGCCAAGCTGCATTTCTGACATGTGATTGTATCCAGTGCAGTTATCAGTCTCCTGCCTTCTCCTAGGAAGATGCCAAGCATGTATAAGACACTGGAGAGGACTGTACCACAGTCCGGTCGGGTGGGGGGAGTCAACATTGGATTAAAATGGTTCAAAAAGGTTCAGTTTAGAATGGTAAGATTTAACTCTTAATCGTTTAATCCTGCAGAACTTACTCAACATGTTAGCATAAGCGGACTGTACTAACACTTCCCCCATTTTTCAAAGATCACAAATTGCCTTCTAAAGCTTGCAGCTAGATTGTTAAGCTATTCAAACAGCACTCCGTCACTATAGGACGGTACGGTCACCGCGGATCACCCCACGGAGACATGATAGCACCGGTGATGTCACAGCAACACCCAACGCCTGGTACTGCTTCCGCTGCTCCCAAACATGTTCCCTCTGCAATCCCGAAAGCTGATGGGGTGAAACCGGGCAAACTTGTGAGTTCATGAAAAGTCTCCTTGAAAGAGGCGGACAATCGCGCATTCGGTGCCGAGTATGGAAACAGATCAAGGCAAACGTTTACAAGAGCCTCTTATGCTTATAGAATTCAATGACAACTCCAGCACTGTGTGAGTTTTCCTGTGATTCGGGGTTGAGGAATACCGGCCAAAGGCCAATCGATGGAGGCAGCAAAAAGTGCAGCTTTCCAGTTCAAACTGAAACGGAAAGGAGAGATGAAAAGGGGGAAGTATTGTCACATGAAGAAGTTTCTCTCGCTTCTTCTCAAGGTTTTCGCTTCTTACAAAGAGTGTCCCACAGTCTTCTATCTCACTTGTTCCCTCTCAGTCCTCTCTCTTGCTCAAGATGATATTTTATATAGAAAATGCATACTATAATGCAACAAATTACCATTTTATTTCAATGAGGCATTTTTACAAACCAGTTCATACTACTGTGGTCACACTTGAGACACTTCAGTTGAAGGGCGTGTGCCCACGTGCCTGGACCTCCACTCCTGATAACCCAGAGCACAAAGCTCACTCATTTGCTCATTTACACTCTTCACTCATTCACTAGGCTGGCCTCCATTAATTCCCACAGCTGATCTCTTCATTCATTCAGCAGGCCGATCTCATTCATCCGTGCAGCTGGTAGCACTTTGCTTAAGAACAGGACTCTCCTTAGGATTTGAATGCAGGGCTTCCTGGTCACAAGCAAACCTCCATGATCTCAAGCCCGCGGTGCAGCCTACCCCCCCCAATCGCTGGCCTAATCCCCGCTCTGTAACCCGACTGAAGACAGTGCTGACCGTCACCATCTTGCTGGAAGCCACTAACGTCCACATCGTAGTTAAACAAGCTTCGAAGTCTTACGCTGCCTTTGCTTTCAGCAAACAAACAGACCCCTAAGCACATTTAACAGGACATGGAATAACAAGCAAAGCACCACAGCACTTAACAGAGTGGGACAACAGAATTACTGATTATCCCGGGGTGGGGGGTATTTCATCAGCTTCCCGTAAGTACTTATCCAGTAAAGCGAATTTAATTGACATGGACCTTCTAGTGAAAGAAATGAATTCAGGTAGAAAATGTTGCCCGTTAGAAAGAGCTCAGGCAGCAAAACACTCAGTTTTTCGGTTCAATTTTCCACTTAATGGCTCTACATGACCTGTGAACGCAAGCAGAGTAATATGGTAATAACAGTAATGAGAAAAAGACAACAGAAACATTAAAAGAGCAAAGATAAGGTGACCTTCGAGCCCCATTCGTGGCTAATAAATGGCTAGTCAGCGATCGTGGCAGGAAGCATAGCCTGGGAAGGAAGAATTGAGCCATCGCACACATGGGACAGGATGCCAGTCCCTCACAGGGTGCCCCCCCCCCCCAACACGCGTTCATGCTAAGGCTACGTCAGAGACAGCACAGGGACAACAAGTCACATGTCACTAAAAGGCAACAAACAGTGGGAGAATGAGCAGACTCTGCTAACAGAAGCAAGGATGCATTCGAGCGCAGAACCCTGGAAGGGGTGATGCTACCTGCCAAACTACCAAGCCACAAAAAACATGCACCCCTCCCCGAAAGATAAAGAACTGCATTCGAAGCCCCCAAACCGGGAAATCTGAAGCCACCAATTAATCGAGCATTTTTACCGATGCCTCTATTTTTAGTGATTAATTTCCTAAAGTTTTGCATGTGTAATTTAGTTAATATTTAACATATCACAATCTAATACAATGCAGTTTATGTTCCAAACTGTTCTCACGGGGTCAACTGCCTGACTCCAATGCACTTCAGCACGAACAAATCTTGAATAGCAGAGAACATGAACACATCAGTGTCATAATTGGTATTTATTAACCAACAAAAAGACTGAAGTGCCTGGGCACCTTATCACCTCAAATAGAAATACGACACCATTTACAAACAAGAATTTTTAGGACTGTAATGTACAACAACAATATACGTGTTCCACAGCGGGATACAGTGGTAGCAGGCTGGTAGCATTTTTGCGTCACACATCTTGCTGGGGGTTTGAATATTATCCCCATTCTCTTCGTATGGAGTATAAATGTTGCTCCCCCCTCCCCATGTCCTGCAGGTTTCCTCCTGCAGTCCAAAGACATGGCACTTTAGTGCGTAAATGCATTGTGATGGGTTGGCATCCTGCACAAATGTACTTTGCTGCGTCGGATAAACTCCCCCGCCCCTCAACGCTGTCCGGGCTAAGTCGTTGGGTGAACAGATTTTAATGCATAGCGCGTGCATTACCAGATGCGAGCTGTCAAAGGTGCAGATTTACCCCTTGGCCCTTCTCTCGCGAGCGTCCGCGCACGCGCAGGCAGGGACGCGCTCACCACCTACTCTTCCAAAGCATTATTAATTCACTATCATTATCACCGATGCACGCAGGGGTAGGCTTGCATTGACACAAACGCACGTCGGCCCCCGAAACACGGACGCCCCCGGACGATGCGTGATCCACAGCAGACACACGCTGGCTCCTACGACTCGTTAATCCGAGGATAAAAAAAAACACAACTAGCTACTAGCTCGTCGGCTAGCATCTCCTTTAAACCATTTTGAATATATGCTATGCCAAATAAAAAATAAGATGCCGTGACTATAATATTCTTGTTATGCTGACAATAGTGATGTAACGTGATTTACCAAACCCGGTTCATCCTGTAATGCATTAGTATACGTTTTCAAATCCACCATCAATCATTAAAATAAAACATACGCTGCTACAGTCCAGCTACATAGTTACACGTATTAATACATGACATTTAAAATATGGCTGGTAGATGGTAATATAAACGTTCAAAAAGGTGCAATGACAGTTGTCCCTCTATTCCTATGTGCAATCATATTTCGACACATAACGGGAAGCGAATCGCTGTTCCTCCGCGATCAGCGCTCCGTTTTCGCATTTGTCATCAGTGAAAAACATATTTTTTAATTCTCAATATTGCTGATGTAAAATGATATGTCCACATGCACATCGTGATGCTTTTATATATATATAAAATATTATTTCAAGTTCTGCTTCTGCATGTTTATTGACAGACAATGACAAAGGAATAACAATAATACACTTATAATATTCCCATACCGTGCCTTGTCCTCTTTGCAGAGTTGGACACCCTTTGCTTTTATCGAGATCGCTAGTTGTCTTTCGCTCCCCTTAGTTCTGCCGGTGTTACTAGCAGTTGTGTCCCAGTGTGTAAAAGAGAGAGAGAAGGAGAGATTATGGTGGGGGGGAGAGAGAGATTGAGAGAGAGAGAGAGAGAGAGAGGGAGGGAGGGAGAGAGAGAGAACGGGACACAGGAAGGATAGGAATATGGAAATGGATGAAGAATGTAATGACTCGCAATGCAGGAGAAGACGGGAAAACGAGGTCATCTGGTGGCTGGAGCGTGTCATTGCAGGCACAATATCCGCGGCACCGGGGACAGTGTGTGTGTGTGTGTGTGTCTGTGAGTATTGTGCGCGCATGTGTGTGGGGAGGGGAGGAGGGGGGCAATAAAGCAGCGTCGTTTTGCTGGCTGTTGTATATTATATGACCTTGAAATGAACAAAGATAAAAATGGCACCATAAATGAAGTTCCTAACTTAGAAAATGTAGTTTATATTCAAATTTTATGCGGACGGCTGTTTTTTTTTCTTGGAGATACTCTCATTTGTTGACCTATTTCGCCACCCAGTGTAAAGTACAACGGTAGTAAAATGGACTGTGAAATTTGTTGAGTGTGCTATAGTGCGTCTGAAATAACGTTTCAGTGAACACTGTCAGCAGTCCTGGGGGTGATGATGTGTCCTTTATGTGCTCTATACGCAGATTATAGAGAACCTAACAAACAATTAGATACACAGCTACAGATCAGTTCATCAGAAAGCAGGGATAAGTTACCAAATTGTGTGTTTTACAGGTAAGGTGTGTGTCATTTGTATACTATAATATGAATGGAGTCAGGTTAATCCAAATAACTACAATTTCATTGATTTTTCCAGATTAAGATTTTAATAAATTGGACACATGTTATACATCCAAATATCTGCGTATGTCTGTGTGAAAATGTGTGTTTCTGGATGTGTGTACATTGCCGTTAGGTCTGTATGTATTTATGTGTATGTGTGCATGTTCTTGTGCTGTTTGTTCAGCGCGTGTGTGTGATGTTAGTGTGTGCGTACAGGCATGAGTGTGCATTTTGCTCGAGGTGACTCTGTGGGTGCACTTTACTCTACTTGTGAACATTTATGCACGTGTGTGTGCAGTGCACACATTGCGCTTTAATTTTAATCCCCTGCAGTGTCCCAGATGCCTCAATGATGACTCACCAGCATGACTACAAACCACCCCATAAGTCAGCAGTCCAGCCCAGTACGTCCCTCCTCCCATCAGGTTGGACCATCTCCTCCTTTTGCTCCATCCCCCCATCCACTGTTTTCCAGGCTTCTGTTCATTCTCTTGATTTTGTGGTCTTTCTATTGGATCACCACTTCTGTCATCTGGAAATTAACACAAATGTTTATCTTACAAACACTACAAAGCAACATATAAATGACCTATTTCAAGGTCAAACCAATGGATAAGAAAATTTAACCAAAAACCAACAAGCAAATTAAATCAATAGCCGAAGTTGTACTACTATTAGCAATGCAGTGAAACTCTCCTTTTTGTAACCCGTCATTTTCAACCCCACTGCGGTGATATAACATCCCTGGGCAGTTAGGGGGGGGGGAAAGGGGCCTCTGTCTTACATCCACACCCTCTAGTCATTACTTCACACCCCCAGGAATGAGGAGCAGCTGAATTTTTCAACTGAGAATTATGCTGCTGTCACATCTTTCTGCTACATTCCTCATGATGGATAAAATCAACACTTCTCCTGTGTATATTAAAAATGAAAGACCAACTCTTCATCAGGCCTTAACTACCTTTATAAAACAATTTATATGTTATATATACAATATAGTGTGTTAATTTGTAATCAGGCCAACCTACAACCTTGTGGCCCAATTCATTCTGTTTCCTCCATAGCAGTGTCTCCCGACCTGGTGCTCAGGGACCCCCAAATAGTGCACGTTATGCCCCCTCCCAGACTGAGCTCAGGGAGGGAGAAAAAGCGTGGACTGTCTGGGGGTTCCTGAGCACCGGATTGGGAAACACTGCTGTACAGAAACGTTACCATTAAAACAACCAATGATCAGAACTTTACTTTTCTCACCTGTAGCAATTCAGCTTAACCATTTACTATATTCCAAACCAAGAAAAATCATGCAAAATCTTTGTCATCGCACTTAATGCATTAAAGCTGTATTCTGAGAAAAGATGTTGCCAGAAAAAGATGGAATAATTGAGTAAGTGATAAAATGACTGGCTTTCACACAGAGCGAAAACTCTCACCCTGCAGTTCAAATATTCAAATAGTCTATTCAGTTGCTGATCAGTCGTGGGAATGGAACCATTCGTCTACCTTCCATGCCGCTTGTCTTCAACTAGGTCAAGGTGGGATATGGAAATGCTTATAAATAACTTGTCTGCAACCCTTATAGGACAATAAAATGTAGATATTGGGCATCAACTCTGCAGTTTACTAGGTATTGTGACTTGAGGATGGTCTTTATATCATGCACCAGAATCAGACTGGACTTTGCGGGATGAGGTTGGATTTGAAATTGTGAGACAGTATTATATTGAAGAAGAAACATACAATTTCATTTACAGTATTTTTCACGCAGCCTATTTATGAGTGTTCAGGTATGTTTAAGGTTGCTAACCCCTAGATTTGGCCTGGGCAATTATTTTCTGTGGAGGGTCAACTATGAGCTTCAGTATGACAATAATGGTCATTTTATGTCCCATGGAAGTGGCAATAGAATCATTTTTGGGGGAGACTCATTTTTGCATGCAGGTTTGGAAGCAATTGTATTTGTGATTATTCTTGAGACTTAAACACAAAACTTTATTCTTATTTTATTCCATTTTAATGATTGGCCAGCAAAGATCGACCCGGGCCAGCAAAAATAGCTCCAATGACTAGATATGGCCCACAGGCTGGCTTTTGCCCAGGTCGGCCCTAAATTAACTGTGGAGTGGTGAAATATGGATACTGGTGGGTCACCGCCACACACAAACCTACAGACAGGAACAGCTAAAGTAAAACAGAATGTTTATACATGCCGTACCGATGTCTACAGAATGATCTGGACTATTTCTGGTCATGATGAATGTTTCAGGATGAGTCCTGGCTGTTCTTTGTGTTACACCATCTGTCGGTGTTCATCTGGTGTTTTTTTTATCAGATTCTAACAGCTAAACTTAAAGTACAGTTAAACTATTGCCATTCTGCATAAAAGTAGTTGCTTTTACATGGGAAAACTAAAACTTGGATTAAAATTAAAATAGTATGACTACATAAACCTTATAACTATAAAGAGTAGTTTTTTGTAAAACAATAAACATTTGCTTTAGAGAGACACTACATAGGACAATACAGGTTTGTCTTGGAAGGACACTAGCATCAGCAAGTGAGATACATGCTATGAGGGGGTCCAACACAAGCTGAGCATGAAGATCCCAGCCTTCAATTCCAGGACATTTCATAATTAGCTTTGCTTTATTGGATTTCAATGAAATCTGATGTAGCAATTAATGNTAAGCTACAGCTTCTTTCTAGTCACATTCCTAGATTTGCTAATTCATAATTAGAAGTGCATTAACATTTCATTGCTTTAAATTATTAATCATGGTGTGTGGAATCTTCACATCTCACGGGTTCAGAAATACTTGCCCAAGTGGACTGTGATGTAGCTGGGCCAAACATCACAGCCATCAATGTAGAATATATAAACTAAGATGGCATGAAAAAAATAGCTACTCAACACAGTCCCTCCCATTGCATCCCCTGCCCATGTATCAATCCCCCCAATTCAAAATGCATCACGATTGCATGGTGCACACAGTCACACAGACAAAAAGACTCGTGCTGCGGGTGGATGGCCAACACCAGTGTGCAAATATGTGCTAATACAGCCACAGAAAAAATTAAGAGACTGCAGCACAATTTATTATTTCACTCATTTCTCAATTTATGGGAGTGTGGCTGTGAATAATATATATTTTTTGCAAACTGCAGCCTGGTTCTTCTCTGTTTCTCATTAATGAAAGGTTTCTTCCTTGCTTTATGGGACTGCAGTCCTGCTTCTAGCAGCCTGATACGAACTGTCCTAGCAGTGCACTTCACACCTGCACTTAATGTTCCCCATTCCTTTTGAAGGTCACTTGATGTCATCCTTCGATTCATGAGAGACTGTCGGATAAGTTAACAGACGTCTCTGGCATTAGAATGTCGCTTCCGCCTTTTACCTGCCTGGTTTCTGCTTGTTCCCAGTGTCTCCTGCTTCACCGTATTTTTGTGTACTGTTGTCTTAGAAATTTTTAACCTGAAAGCATCTTGCCGTGCAGCGTAGCCTTCTGCCAGAAGGACCATAATTAAACCAGGATTTTAAAAATGTAGATTTGTTTAAAAATATAGAGTGCTCTCTTGATTGTTTCCATGGCTGTTTATGCTACATGTGCCTGTGTGTGTTTGGTAGAGAGGACTGGAGTCACAGGCAGCCACACTAACATACAGTAGAAATGTTCCTGCATCACCTCGCATCCCTGTCTTCACACCTAGAGTGCTTCTGCTCATCTGCCAGATGCTCTGGGGAATTGAACAGTCTTAAAATTTGCATTTGGTGCAGCATATTTGTATATCAAATTTACACTAATGTCTTTTATACAATTTTTCCACCACTAGGAAAAATAAAGAAGCTGAAAAGGAGTAAATACTTTATATATTTAAAGAAACAGAGACCAGTCTTCAAAATTAGAGGTTATCGGTAAGTCTTAGTACCCAGAGATTAATTACATGAAGAAAAAAAACTGCATAATACCCCAGCATAAACAGTAAACGTGTGCATATAGTCACCGATGCCGATGGCCGCTAGCATTCATCAGCATGACAGAGCATCGCTGATAACATCACTGACTTTCTTTCCCATGGTGAGTTTGTCAGGCCTTTTATGAAAATGATACATTTCTTATCTTTATATCTCCATGGTTAGCAGATTCTGGAAAGATTTTGCCAAAAAAAAGCATGTAACTCAAAATAACAACATCAGTATTTCAAAGTCAACAGAAAAAGACCTACTGCAGCTGCAGGCGGTGCTGCATTTTGTAACACTGCAGGACACCTGGAGGTGCGAGTCGCTACTGCAGGACAAGGGGCCAGTAAACAG